TATTTAATGTTAAAGAGCTATTTTCAGATAGTTATTCTCTGCAGCATTTTGTGGTAAAACTCTTCAGCTGTTAGGTGCCTTCAATCAGCCAGCAGTGCTCACACGCTGATAATAATAAAGGGAACCCTGAGATGCTGTTGAAACGCACTGACAGATGTTGAACGGAAAACGAAAGGTGAGAAACGCAGATAAAGTTCAAACATTCTGCCTTTGAGTGGTTTCTTTCACTGCGTTTGTTTTTGTCTGATTCTTCGGAGACTTTAATGTGGTACAAATGTAATCCGTACAGGTCGAAGGTCAAATATGTTATTTATGACCTGGTTACACAAACACATATAAAGCTCTTATTTTTAAAAGCAAATCTGCCTTTATAAGGAGCAATAATTCCAGAAAATGGAAGAAACAATAAGCTGGGAGAACGTTTGTGGATTTGGGAGAGAACTCTTAAAGTCAAAATACTCGCTGTAGAAGCTTTGTAAGAAAACCAAGTACTGTAGCGCTTTATGAGATGTTTTGTCTTATAAAGTTTTTAAAAATTGAATCATGTTTGGGCCTCAAACTACGCCAAGAGTGAAGAAGGAGGAGATGATCTCTGCTTTGGGTCCTCCAGCAGCACAAATCAGCTCCTCTGGTGTGAAGCCGAAATGTTTGAGTGATAAAGTTTGTGGAAACTGACTAGCGGAGCAGAGAAATGTTTAACTCTTCATGTTCAGATCATTTGAAGCTTTTAGGATAAAAAAGAAAACAAAAAACCTCATCATGCTGGGTTAGGTCACATGGGAGCTGCATTAGTTAACAGAAATGTGATTCTAACGTGTACGTGAACATCTGGGTTTTAGTTATAGTTATATAACTGGAAAACTGAGATCAGACTATTATCTAGTCTGTTGGTTAAAGTAGTTAAACACCAATCTAAGGTGTAGATCCACACCTAGAATGCTATAATAAGACTCCGGCTGTGAATTTTTCACTAATGCTAGCAAGCCATAAAGACTGGAATCTTTTCCACTGACAACGTTCCTCATGTGACGTGAACTCGGCATCGCATCTGTAGCATGAAGGGTTAAAACAGTCACACCAGATGAGGCACAGAAACCCAACAAAAACAGCCCCCAAAATAGCCACGTTGTTTTACTTTTGTCTAAGATCTGGTTAAAATCTGGATAAAGAGTAAAAGCAAAGTTGGCATCAAATTTTTAGTTCATGTTTCACTTTTCAACAAAATCTCAAGGTTTTTTAATGCCTGAAATAACGTTTACAACAGTTATTTTCGACTTGGTGGGACGTTAACAGCATAACTGCGGTGAATCCTAAAAGATGCTTAGCTAACAGCTAGTATTCTTATTAGCCAGAAAATGCTAAAGCTAACAGCACTCTTTTACAATTTATATTATATAATTGATAAAGGTAAATAAAACTATAACTAGATACAGACAAACTAGCTAGTTTTGAGAACAGACAGTTGTAATGTTTATAAAGTTAATAAGCTATGCTCCATTTTAGCTAATCACGCACTTAGCGTTCATCGCTAATTGCTACCAGCACAACTAAGGGAGCCAAAGTTTCAAGGTGTTCAGCTCTGGTGTGACTGAATCTTTGTGGTTAACTCTCTCCCTGTCTTCATAAATCAGGAATTATTGTTAATTAATCCAAGTGCCAAATTTGTTTAAAGATAACATTACAGGTGATGTATTACCACATGTACTTTATCAATGAACAGCAATCAATATGTCGTACTGATATTTTTAATACTGCTCTGCTCAACTTTGAATTTAAAGCTGCGCTTAATACTTTTTGTATAAGAACCGTGGATCAAATGATCAATGAAATCTTTGTAATGTTAAAGGTTTTGCTTTTAATGTTGTAAATTCCACCATTTAGCTTCTTCTAAATCCTAGTTTTGGCTTTATGGTAAAAAATGTATATTTTCCAGGTGGTGGAGGAGATCAAAACAGAGCTAAAAATGCAACTCCAGAGATTGTTTCTCTGGGTCTGCCCCCTGTTGGCCAAATATCAGTCAGTGCAGCTTTAAATAAACAAAGTTCATGTTTTTAATGGTGTTCTTCTAAATATAAAATTTAGAGTAAAAGACAGAAAAATCCTGAGGAGGAAAATAATTTAAATAGATTTAAAGACAAATTTTACATTCTGTGTGGAGCAGCTACTAAATATGGAGTTACTGTTAATGTAAATAGTTTTGTAATTTCTATAGACTGCACTTATTTTCAAATGTGGAATTCTTGTAACAGCACTTTTTTTTTTATTTGTTATTGTAGTTTATCGTACTTTGAGTCTCTGGAAGTTAAACTGTAAAATTTCACCTTAAACGAGACGCAAATTCAAATTTAATTTGAACTTCAAGCAAAGGAACAAATTCTGAATGTATACATGTGAATCAGTGTGAAATCAGCCTCTGAAATGACTGTTTAAAGGATGAAGTGATCCTTATTTCTTACAGTGTGGATCGCTGTGTTTCAGTCTGCAAATCAGCCTTTGGCCTGTTGGTGGCGCTGTGCTTTGAGAATGAACTTTTACAGTATTTGGGATTTTGTCAGCTATATTTAGTCTCGGCTAAGGTGAATGTTTATGATCCATTAAACTATATTATAAAGACAAACTGTGTATCTGTATTTTTCTTGTTTTAAATGGATTTAAATTGACGGTCATGGATTTCAGGTGTGAGTAGTCGGTTAACACCTGTTCAACAGCTGAAACTCGTCACTCGGGTGATTCCTTTTGCACATAAAGTGTTGAGTCTTCATTGTTGTGTGTTTTAATGTGTTTAGACTGAAGTTGCAAGCGAAGCCCGAATACCTGAGAACTGTCAGAGAAACAGCTAAGAAATAAAACTCACAAGCAGGAATCATCTTCCACAGATCTCATCAAATCTACTCGTGTCCATCCATGCTCTCCGTGTAGATTTGGCTGATGTGTGAGTTTAAATCAATTTGAGAACTTTCGTGGGTTCTCAAGTTAACTTAAATCAGTCTAACCTTTTCTTTTTGAATGGCTCCAACAGGAAGTGGCCATGAGCTGCAGCTGCTCAGCAAAACATGGAAACCTTGGGGATCGTGCGATGGTCCCATCGGCAGCTTCTGAAAGTGATTCAGGCTTTTTCGTTTTTGTTAATGATTACATCGATGGTGAATGAACTCAAATTTCTTCAGTATCACTGGCTGGACCTTCACCCTGCAGCGAGCCTGAAATCCTAATCAAACAAGCTGCTACCTTAAGGTGAACGTAGTGTTAATATAGTCAAAACGTTTGTGCTTTCTTTTTTGGCTCTTAATGGGACCAACATTTATTAAGATTTTGGTCCCAGTTTTGTCATGTTAAAACTGAGACGCCTAAAGGATCAAATTTCAAGTGATCAGAATAGTTTAAAACAAACAGAGCGCTCTGATTTTAGCAGCTGCTTTTATTAAAAATGATAAAAAAGGAAGTTTGTTCAGCGTTTCTTCAGTTACACGTCAGTCACAATGAAACTCGATGTACAGTCATAAACATTTGTTACCTTCACGCAACCACAGGCTAGTTTCACACATGAACGTTGGATAAAACTGCTACTGAAAAACTACAAGACTTGTGAAGGATTATTTTCAGTCCCTGCCCGGTGACACCATGACCAGTGAAATTTGAAACAGGAAGTAGAGGTTCCACAGAAAGGTCACCAACCTGACACGTCGCTAACACAGAGACACAGAGAACCACTGACATTCACAGCTATGGGCTCTTTAGATTCCCCAATAACTGAACTTTGGATTGTTGGGGGAAGCCACGCAGAAAGCTCAGGTGTTGGAGCTGATCTCAGGATCTGTAGTCTCTTTAATCGCTCACAAGTTCAGGGAAAGACTATTGTTTACTTGGCCTGTTGTATCTAAACTTCACTCAACAGTCGGCGACCTCTGGTCGTCACATCGGCCCACATGGGATGGATGGAGGTGAGGAGCTCCACCTAGATCTACTGTTCCTACATCTGAGAAGGTGACACAATCGGCATGCCTCCTCGGCACCAGAGGATCCAGAGGAAATTCACTTGATATTTATCCTGGGAGCGTCTCAGGAAGAGCTGGAAACCATTGCTGGAGAAACAGTCTCAGGTGCTCTCCTTAGCTTGCTACCACTTTGACCCAACTTCAAATGACACAGTGGGATGGATTTTTTCTTCAATGTAAATGTTTAATGGAAGTTTTAAGATAAAATTGCTTCAAAACTGTATTTATTTAGTTTAAACGAGTTCCCGGCCCAGCCAGGAGGCTGTGGCAACCACTTTGGATTCACTTGTTAAAACAGTTTTGAGTTTAAATCAAACATCACCATCCACTAAAAACGTTTCTCCTACACTTCAAAGTCTTTTTCCCCTCATGGAAGTTTCATTTGCTGTTGGCTGTTACCTTTTTCCACAGAGTTCAGTTCAGGATCTTTTGAGTAGTTCTTTCTCTGCAGACGTGACCACACTTCAGCATCCATCCACTGTATCCAAACGGAGCTGTTAGCTTTGGATTTTGTGGATTTGCTTTGTTTTTACTGGCAGAGTGCGACAGCTCCTCGGGCTTTATTTGGGTTCAGCAACTTTACAAAGACTGAAACTTCTGAAAGTACGATTACATTTTGGTTTTAGGTTAGTAAGCATGGACACAGTTAACTGAAGCTGAGTTTTAATTAAACATGACAACCTTGACGCCCAAGACAAATACCTGATGGACACAAAGCCCTTCCTTCTGTTACCTGGGTCAAAGGTCAAAGTTTAGACAGAACCAGATGCCTCCAGCTCCTCTGGGGGGACACTGAGGAGCTAAAGACTCATTTATTTAGACTGGCTTTTAACTAGATTTGTGCTGTATGATCGATTGTGTTGTGTTATGTACATAGTTCTTATCTGGTGAAGAGTGCTAGATAAAGTTATTATTAATATGAAGACCTAACCTGTCCAGGCGTGTCCTCACCTGGGAAGAAGAGCAGACAAAGAGCGACTCAGATGATGATTAAAACTGGAAGCAGAGGCTTGAAATCGAGCCGATCCCGGCGGCCAGACTGTCTGCTGCTCCAATGAAACGCGTAGAAACGTACGCAGGTGATCCAAGAACATCTGTTTTGTGTTCAAACATACACGACACATTTTTACAGCAGGTCACGTGTTTCTGAGACGACCTCACTGCAGATATCTGCAACGCCGCTTCTCCCAGCTGTCACTGCACGGCGCCAAACCGTTTCTCCCCTGCGTGGAGCGTGATGTGGCGCCGCAGGTGGCTGCCTGATATGAACGTCTTGTTGCAGTACGAACACCTGAACTGTTTGCAGTCCGTGTGGACGGTCATGTGGACCTTCAGCGACCCCGACTGGGCAAAGCGTTTGCCACAGTGGACGCAGCCGTAGCGTTTCTCGCCCGTGTGGACGCTCTGGTGGCGTTTGAGGTTGCTGGAGTCTGAGAAGCGTTTACCGCAGAGCTCGCAGACGAACGGTTTCTCGCCGGTGTGGACCCTCATGTGGGTTTTGAGGTTCTTGAGGCAGGCGAGCTTTTTCCCGCAGCAGTTACAGACGAACGACTTTCCCCCGCCATCCTCGCCTCTGTGGCTTGCCGCTCTGCTGACGGCATCCTGTCTCCACCCGCCCCTCCGGATGAAGGAGCGATGTGCTCCTGGCGTCTCCTTCCTAACAGGAAGCTCGTCTGCAGGCACCGCCCTCTGCTGGCTGCTCTGGAAACCTGCAGGTCGCTCTGCTGCAGACAGACTCGCCTTGCTGAG